TGCTCAAGTCCCCTCCTGCAATAGTAGATCATACTATTAACAAACCACTACAAAAATTGATGCAAGAATGATCGGTTTAACCAGATCATAAGGTTATTAATTAAACCAGATACTCAAGGTTAACAAAGCAACATTGCATACCTAGAATCCCATGTTTAGTTCCATTGAAATTCATCACATGAACTTGATAATGAATTTAAATCAATAGAGCTCATTAGATCTCTATCATCCGCATTTTTTGGAACATGATCCTCACTCAAGTTGATTGTGGCTATTCGGCTTCATTGACTATTACCTTCTCCATGGCAATTAGTTTTTTGCCTCAATCTAGCTTCAACAATTTCGAATTGTGAGGGGTCTCTAGTTGTTGCACTCAATCCTTTTCTTCTTGTTCCGTTGGATGGTCTTTCTCTACCTTATTGTACTTCTGGCTCAAAATTCAGTCGAGGTTCTGCATTACCAAGTTCATATAAAACTTCTTCAATGTTTTTCTTCTCGTTAAGAGGTAGGTGCTCATATTTTTCTTTCAGTTTTCTGACCAATTCACCAAAGATGGAATCACCATTGTTAGAATGACTATGAGCAAAAACTGATTCTCTTGTATCAATACGCCATTGAGGATGTATAGCTGTAAGAGGAATCGATTTACCTATCCATGAACTCATCATGTGTGCACATGGTAATCCCATAGTTGCCGAGAAGCTACCGCTGCAGGTCATACTCATCTTGTGATTTTTTAACATTTCAAATTATTTTTCTAACTTGTCCAGGGCAAAAAATGATAATCTAGACACAACTTCCCTGAAAAACGGAACATTGCACCTGTGAGGAACTTGAATTCTTTCATTTTCTATCCTTACCTTAAGTTCCTTTAGATCATTTTCAAGGAAAAGAGATACTTTGTCCTTGACTCCAAGTGTATCCCCAGTTGACACAAGTAAGTACTTTTTCAATTTCGAATGTGCACCCTCTGCTCTTGATGAAGTACGCGTTCCAAAATGCAAGTTTCTATCCGTCCATGCACTAACAAAATGCTGCTTAAATGGAATCCATGTGTCTCGAAGATAATTCATAATATCGGCCCTTTCATTATATGTCAGCTCCATCTCATGCCAAGCTTGACTAAAAGCCTCCTCTGTAGAAGAGTACACTACCCTGTTCCATGCAGCCAAAAAGTCTTCCCAATCCTCATTTTTTCCAAAATAGAATTTGCATTTTGAAAGAACATTTTTCTCAATGTGCCAAATGCATAACAAATTTGAAGCAGTAGGGAAAACCTCTTTAATAGCATTCATCAATGCTAATTCTCTATCAGTCGCAATAATAGAGGGACACATTCCATCACCAAGCATGTCACGAAAAATACGTAATGCCCATTCATAATCTTTCTGAGCTTCATTTCTTAAAAATGCAAAGCATGAATAGAATGAAGTGTTAAAACTAGTCATGCCAATAATCTCAAGTAATGGCATCTTATAACGGTTGGTCTTGTATGTGCAATCCATGACAAACACGTTAGAATAACTTCTACTTAATGTAATCAATTCAGGATGTGCAAAGAAAACATGAGTTAAACAACCTTTCCCATCATCTTTATAATCAAAAAGATACCCAGCCTTGTCAAAATCTTCAAATAATACCTGGATGATAATACGCCCTTTAGTGTTTTCCTTTGCAATTTTTCTCTTGCTATTGTAGACATCTCGAGCAACAATTTGCAAATCTGGATTATCTAGCCGGAGAAGAGAAATTATCTTGCGCGGTGGAACTCCAGCCAGACTCATCTTTTTCACATCTGATATCTCTCCTTCTGACAAAACTCGCTCAGATGGATGTCTCGAAATATCTCGGGACGCTTCATGATTATGTGAATCACTTTGGATAAATATCTTCCAAAAACCTTCATTTTGCATCTTTCCTTTTATTTGAAAAGGACAATTTATGAGACGAGTGGTAGTTTTCCTTTTTCTCTCTTCAATTGGGACTTTTACTCTATCCCGATAAACTCCCCCTCTATCACATCCAAGGATAACATATCTATTTAGTCTCGAACCTCTAATCGATAAGCTATACCCTTGAGCTGAATAAAAATCTTTTGCCGCCTTTATGAGATCATCACGAGTCCTCTACGTAGTGGCAAGAAGTACATTCTTGTCTACTTCCATTAAATTTTGTTGGTTAATCTCTTCATCTGCATGATCTTCCATAAGTGCTCAATGGAGACTATAAAATAAAAAATAAAAAAAAAAAACAATTAGGTTTCCCAGACTCAAATTTTTTGGAGAACCTTTAAGAACACTGATAGAATAAAATTATCTCACTGCCATACTAACTAGCTATCATAATAATAACAATTTTGATTTCCTAAGCTTGATTTTAGTATAAAAAGAGAGTTTCTATACTCAGAGACAACCAAATGACACACAAGGAAACAAAAACTAATGTGCACAATTTCTTATTAGACACTACGTGTTGCTAGTAAAATGAAGTCACGACTGTTTCTTTTATAAAAAAAATGTATGTACACAAACATATTGCACCATTTTTGTTTAGCAGCTAAGCAAAACCATGTTTTTTTGAAAAAAGAGAAAAGAAAGAAAAAACAAATCTATTATGCATAGATGTCAGTATTCGAGTAATATAAATTCAATTCCCACTCTCCATGTTTTGAAGTACATGCAGCTGACACTTTATATATATATATATATATATATATATATATATATACACACACACCGAGAAAGCCAACAGGTTTAGGTACAAAGGGTTAAGGGCATTACATTGTTAAAGTACTAATCTTAAATTTTACCAAAAAGTCACCTAGTTTAATCAATAAGTCTCCACGGCTCTGTTTGTTGTGTACGCATCAAATGGATTTGAGTTATAAGCATATATTATAAGCATACTGCAGCTGACAATATTATTCATCCTTAGGACTTTTGTATTTCCCTCAATTTGAGAAAACACACTCCGATAATTATCAAATTTTTCATGGTTACATCACAATGCTAACTGAGGCTATTTTATTTCACAATGCAAAGTGTTCAATTTTAGGAGCAAACACAACTAATTAAATTACTTCCCGTCAATAATACAATGAGGGCATCTATTATAATTAAGAAGTAATCAGACCCATTAGGCAATAAGATCAACTATGCTATTGATCAAACCTACAAAATTACAATCCTTCTCGGAAGGAAAACAAAAATAAACATCTTATTTTGAAGGATAGAGCAATAGAAACATAAGACTTAAGAATTAATCCACCAAAACCACGTGAATTGCTCACAGAATCATTCAATCTACACTTCAAAAAGATTCCAGTAATTTCTCAACCCAAAAGAAATTGCCAGTAATTTTTTTTGGAAAAAGAACAAATTGTTCTTAAACAACAAGATTGGAGACTTACTGAATTTAAGCGGATGAAAGCACAAGAAATCAGTCCTCCTGCTGTGATTTTCTTCTTCTTGCGTTTGTATGATTTTTTTCTTTCTCAAGAGGAAACGATCAGAGACTGAGAATGCATAATAACAAATATAAAGATGTCGATTATCCCTACTTCCTAACATTACGGTCCTAATTTATTTTTGGAGGGAGATTTGGTGAAATTCTTTTGGAGGGAGATTGAGGAAAATCGAGCGGCAATATGAAGGAAGAGGAGTAAGGAAACCGATCTGCGGGAGAGATTAAGGGAAGAGAGAAATAAGGGGAGAGAGAAATAGTAGTAGTTTGACTTGAAGGGTAATTTTGGTAAGATAAGTAAAATTTGCTCTGGAAGCTAAAAATAGTACTGGCAATATCGCTGGCCTTAGTACAAATGTGGGGTGTACCCGTTTCGAACATCTATTTGGTTCTTGCACAAAAGAATGGAAAAAGAAAAACCGCTTCTTTCATCAAAAAGCTTAACTAGTACTCTTTCGATCTAGTCAGTTTTGAATTTTTTTATTTTAATAAAAAAAAAACTTTAAAAAAACCATTAAAGTCTAGACTGAATCCTTACTTTGAAACACGGAGTATAGGAAAATACTCTATATTCATCACCCCCCAAAAAACGTTATCGAAGGACTTTAAATCACTTGAAACTTTAATTAGGAGTAGCTGAAACTCGCCTGAAACTTTTTTTTAGCAACTTCTGCCAACAACTAAATGTCTGCATATAATGTAAAATCTAAATTATTTTAACGAGGATGGTTCAAAACAAAAAGGAACAAATCACGTGAAAGATGGTTTCCAATACGGAGGCTCAATTATGTGAAAGAAGGTTATTTTATGAATTGCATGCATCACTACATGTGCCGGATAGGTACAATGAAAACAAAATGGCAATAAAACAAGACATCCTCGCAATAACTTTATGAATTCCTAAGTTATACGGAAATAGGGATAAAAAAGATGTCCCTATTTGGAATTAACCAAGAAATGTTTTCCTCTCTTTACTTCTGCCAGTATTCCTTATCATCACTTTCTTTCTTCTTTTCAAATGGTTCAGTCCCGGCCGGAAAAACCTCTGGCCACCTTCACCACCGAAAAGTATGGTCCAATTATATGCTGTAGGTAGCAAACCAGCACTTGGAACAAGATTTCTTGGATGTTCTGTTGGAAATTCAGGAGAAAAGTGAACCTGAATCTGATCTTCATCGAGATGCAATTAAAGCTATCATTTTGGTAAGGTTTCAATTTGTCTCTCCCTAACATATATCTATATCTTTCACTAAAACTTTGTACATGGTTTTCTATTACTCCTTTTGTCGCAAAATAATTATCCAGTTTAGACTTTCTTTTCTATTATAATTGATATTCAAAGTAATAATAGATATAGGGCAAATCATTATGATACAGTGAAAGTACTCAGTGCTCTCCTACCAAATTGAGTAAATCTTGTATGCAACCATTTCTCTGTTTGATAGTTCTATGGAGCACACTCTGTAAAGCCTGTTTTTATAAGCTTGATTTTAAAGTTAAGTAATTGATAATGGTCTATTTTCAAACCCTTTTTGCAGGATATGTTTGTTGGTGGTACTGACACTACAACTACTTTGCTGGAATGGGTGATTTCCGAGCTAGTGAAAAACCAAAACTCCATGAAGAAACTAAAAAATGAGGTGCGAAGATTTGCAAATGAGAAAGGGAATCACATAACAGAAGATGTTTTAGACCAACTCCCTTATTTAAAAGCAGTTATTAAAGAGACTTTGCGGTTGCATCCTCCAGTTCCATTGTTAGCTCCTCATGAATCGAGAAATGCCATCAACATCATGGGGTATGATATTTCCGCTGGCACACAAGTGATTGTCAATGCTTACGCGATTGGAAGAGACCCTTCAGTGTGGGAAAATGCGGATGAATTTCAGCCTGAAAAATTCTTGAACAACTCTATTGATGTTAAAAGGCAGCACTTTGAGACTATTCCATTTGGATCTGGAAGGAGAAGTTGTCCTGGATATGGATTCGCCATGGTTACCACTGAAGTCGCGCTCGCGAATTTAATTCTGAAATTCGATTTCACATTGCCCGGTGGAGCAAGGCCAGAGGATCTAGATATGAGCGAGGTTGCCAGTATTATAACTAAACGGAAAACCCCTCTAATTCTTGTGGGGAGCTTAGCTAATTAAAGATACCGAAAGCATTTCTGTCAGCATGTTGAATGATAAAGAACTACTCAACGCCTTATGTACAACTAAGAAATTGGCCCATACATAATCACAGTTCATGCTTTGCATTTAATAAAAATCTGTTGTTTGAATTATTTTTGGTTTTTGATTCTACTTTTTTTTTGGTAATATTATTAATCTCAAAAATTTCATTTCATAGATCTTTAATTTACTCGTGGAATGTGCGACAATATGATATCGATATGAACTTTTTCCGACAGAATTTCATCACTGGTCTTGATGGCGAACTCGTAGTTTTGTAAATACCAAATTGCTAGTTTGGTGTTTTGATGATTGTTAGAATAACATCAAAGAAGAATACTATTCATAAATTATCTTTACTAATTTTGTTTTTGGTTTTAATTTATAAAATTTCAATAAGAAAACCGAACTTTTCTTTATAACATTTTCTATTGTGATTTCATTTGGGGAAGATTCGTTAAACTAAAGAGAAAAAAGAAAAAAGATTCGTTAAACTAATAGTACGTAAAATAACATTCTCTTACAAGTACAAACATACACATTTCTAATGACTTAATAAATTTGGTGAAACACCAGAACCGTCATTTAATGTAACTTAAAAACATATTAATTCGTAAAATGACCTTTTCATGCCCATAAATGAGCTATTTGTGTTTTCCTTCATCTGTCTTTAATGAGCATTAATTTATTAGAATAAAAAATGTTCGCTTAGTGTCCTAACTCCTAAGTATTGTAGCCACCAAACCCAATCTTCCGTCTGGTAGTATTTCTTGTAAGATCTATGTGGACTTTATACACTAATATATATAATTGTATGTTATAAGCTATCATAAAATACTAGCCCACATAAAGTGATCTAATTAAATCAACTAAAGTTTGGGCTGATTATAATAATTAAGTTATACGGTGTGGCCCAGTATTGTGTAGAAACCCTAAGGCCCAGTTTCCGGTTCTGTGATGGGTGGAACTGGAAACCTTATTATATATTGATTGTGGTCCCCGGATGAGCCGTCATGCCAAATCTTCGACTCCCCATTTGTCAGAAGTTCCCGCAAGGGCTTGACGGAATCATCTGGAAGACTAAACCGGATCGACGTTCTTGGCGCTACAGATTAAGGTACGCTTCCCCTTTCGTATAGTTCTCAATAATTTAATGTGAAGGTCTCGACAGTATTTGGATTATTCCAACAAGTGGTATCAGAGCATGTCGATTATTGGGAAATTGGGAAATTCGATTATTAATATTCTCTTTAATTGTTTGTGGTATACTGTTGATGCCTTTAATTTTGGAGTTTACCGTTGCACCTGCGCAGTAATTAAACGGCGTCAATGGTATTTTGGATATATGATAATTTTTTGTTAACTTATAACGCATTAAAATTGATTCCGTTCCGGATTTGGTTCAAGCTGTTGAGGTATACAGTTTCCGTCTTGAATTTTGGCTTCGGTATTTGGTCAGGAAATCAATTTTGATTCCATTCGTTAATCAAATATTGTTATTAAGTCACTTTAGTTTAATCGGCAATTTTTATTATTATTATTATTATTTTTTTTTTTTTTTGTGTTTGGTTATATGCATCACACGTATTAGTGCACTCAAGTTCATCTAATTTAATATATTAGATTAGTTAACCAATTAGCACCAAGGGAAAACATGGACGTAAATGCATATGCACTAGTAATTCAGTAACTTGGATTGCTCGTTTATACAAATTTGTGTTTTGAGAAATTGATTTTGTTCCACAAGCCATTCAGGTTATTTTGGTTTGGGGGACCAATTATTTTCTTCAATTAGTTTTGAAGATATAAGTCAAGTAGGGTTATTTTGGCTAGAGCCGGTTTTTGCCTTCAAGGATTTACAAGTTCAGCTTTCGGTTTCGGTAATCAGTTTGGTTTATGAAATCAAATTGGCCATTTAAGTTTACGAAGCCGTTCAGTTTTGGTTTCGTTTTGGTTCATGATCAATTTCATTTCATAAAATTATTTGGATACGATTCAATTTTGATTCGCAATTGTTTATAAATTTTGGTTACAATTTCACAAATTGGTTGTGCATACTTTGGGTTTGAGGTTTTGTTTTCTATATGAAGCAGAACAGTTAAACTAAAGTTTTTTTTATTTATTTTGGACTGTATTCGGTTTTGTGCTTCCTTACTATTATGATCAAGTTGTGAACATTAAAAGTGCAGTTTGGTTTGGATGATCAGATCATACATACGTGCACTCCAATGAAAGATTCTGGGGAAAATGTAAGTTTTGAAAATTGAAGGTATCAATACTCAAGTCCATTTTTGGTGCAGTTCCATTTAGGTCGTTAATCAAGTATTAATTTGATCTTCATTTTTTGACACATTTTAATTAACTTTGGCATATTTTGGTTGGTCTCAGTGGCTAATTTTTTGTTTGGGCAAATATTTGGTTTTGCTGCGGTTCGAATTTAAGGCTTTAGTTTTCTAATTTTCGATTATGAAAAGGTTTAGTTTTTAGTTTTGGTTCGATTATAGCTGCCTAACTTCAGATTTGCACATACTGATTTGTTTAGGCTTCTAGCTGAAATTTTGTTTTTAGTTTTGGTCAACTTTTAGTTGATTAAACAAAATTTAGCTTCGCCCGAAATACTTTAGGGTTACAGTTTAACATGACATAAATTTAAATATGGCATAAAGAAAACTTATTTCTGGACATCTAGTATCATTTAAATTGATTGATTAATACAATATGTCACCAAAGTGACCTCTTTTGTGTTGATTAATTAATTTAGAATACAAAGATGACAGTTATGTGTGTTTTGATTTCATGCGGGTAATGATCGGCCCAAAGGAAGATCGTTATTTGGCCGAAATTAAAACATTCTTGTGGTAATAAATATGTGATAATTATTATGATTATTCAATGTGAATAATAAGTGGGTCCAAAGAAAGGCTTATTATTTGATAGGACTGAATTATCAATATTTGATTACTACACCAAGAGTACCACTTGCAAATTGATGTTTCTGTCCAAAGACTAAACCCAATGTTGCACTAGGTATCTTGTAAATGGGGAACGCCAATTTGAATTTATTAATCATGTTATATTAAGTTTTAAATGTGAGTTTGTGTTTTGGTTATTTTTTAATACAGTTGATTCCGCTATTTTGGTTATATCTGCTTTAGTTAACTCCGTTAAGACTTTCAAGAACTAGCAAGAAACATTAAGGAAAATTAAGGAGTACGGTATAAAATAATACAAACATGTTTCTATTATAAAATATTTTGTCAAAACAATAAGGCGGGAATGAATATTCTTTCAAGAGATCTTGCTTTCATAAGGTATAAGGAAAAAGGGAACATACAAAATTGTATTATTCAAGGTATCATCTCGAACTAAGGCTAAAGACACTAAAGTGAAAGCTGTCTTATGACTTTTTCGTGCAATAAGAATCGATCTCTCTCATACACAGTGAGATTCGGTTAAGAACAATTTTACTGTTATTAAGTAGAATGGACTCTTAATGGGTTCATTTCATATTGTGTACAAGAAGGGAGATTAAAGTAAGAGATGAATATACATTTGGAAAATAAAGAAGAATCAATAAGTGCTCAATTAAGTTTAAATCATTTAGAAAATAAAGAAATAGGAAAGAAGGATAATTAAGTTGCAATATACAGTATCACAAAAGAAGCAAAATTAGGAAATTAAATTTGGTTGCTACTTTTGTGGTGGTGCTTCAATTGTTTAAGGCACTTGCTTTAGACAATTAATAAAGTTAGTCAGAATTCCACTTGACTTATCAAATTTTAAAATCTGAGTTAAGTGCAGTAAGCAAAACAAACAAACAAAATAAGATTGGGTGGCATAAGATTTTCAGATGTTGTTAGAACTAATACATACGGATATATGTAAACCATTCTTTACGGTCTTCTTTTAGAATGGTCAAGCATATTGTATTATGTTCACAAACAACTTCCCAGGGCTACCTCTTTACCATTACTGAGAAGTACTATGGTCTAAACTTGTTCAAAGTTTTAAGACTAAATACATTTTATAAACTAATTAAGTATTAGGTAAACTATGTCTAGGGTCTGGTCAAATTTCTTAGTGAATATGGTATGTCATATAGTATCACTATGCCGAAAAGTATTACTATTAATGGTGTTATTATTAGACGAATTCGGAAACTAAAGAATCGACTAAGTAGTATGACAAGCTCTACAACTTAGTTAAACTCACTAAAAGAAAAAAGACATAAAAGACTGCAACTTAAAGATATGACAGTGTTCCAACTAAAGCAACAATCCTTGTGGATTATGGACATGCAAATAAGCAAACTAAAGGCATTTTCATATTTTGAGTTATCCGCTTAAGGCAAGGCCGCATAGGTTTACAGAAACGAAACTGGATTCGGTTTGTTTTTTGTTGGATACACTAAAACATAATAAGTTCTAAGATCCAAAAATAATCCTTCTTTTAGACAGGAAATATCTAGTTTCTTGAGAATATTGAGTTTGGAGGGGAAGATAAGGTCAATGACATTGTCTTTAAAGGGAATATTTTTCTATTCATTTGGTAATTTAAGATAGTATTAAAACTTTCCCTCATCAAGACAATTGTAAAGGACAAACTCAACAATCTCAAGTACGGATGCCATTAAGAGATTCCAAAGAAGAGAGAAGAAATATAGTTACGATTAATGCCATAAAATAAGTAAATACAGTAATTGATAAAAATAACGTTTAGGTTCTTTCTCATCACCCAAAGGTGATGTAAAAAGATATAAGAGTTATTTTCTCAATAAAGAATTTAGTCATAAAGATGGTATTATCTTATAGAGACTCTTTAGTATTATTAGAAGTCCAAATTTTAAGACATTCTATAATGGCATATATGGTACATTTTATATTTAGGTTTCATTAGATGGATATTAAAAGATTGTTTCTTAATGGCGACATTTTGAGACAATTTATTTGGTGCAACCGGAAAACTTTGTTTGATGGTTTGCAAATTAAAGAATTCCATCTGAGGACTTAAAAATGTTTCTTGTTAATAACTCAAGTACTTTTAAGTTTTCATCTCATTTGGTTTTGAGGTGAATATTGTGATCATTATACACATCACAATTTCAGTGGGAGTTTAAAGCAGATACTTAGTAATAAATAAATAAAACATTCAGATTTAGATATTTAGTAGCAGCTACAAGGTTACACGGAATCATTAAGACATTAAAGATTACACGCTCACATATCGAAGTTCGGTCAAGTTAGAGATCATTCAGTATCCCAACTTTGATTCAGTTTAATTGTTGATATTGTCACAAGACTGCAAATACAGTATGGTCTTAAAAGACTACTTAAGTTTTATGTGACAATAATGCAACAATTCAGATACTCTAATAACAATGAACATTAAGTTCTTAATTGTTAGATTTAAGTTCAGAATGAACAAATTTTTAAGGAGCACATTCGGACAAACTCCAATATCACAGATTACTTCAACTATGGTATTCGGTAAGTATCTTGCTTAAATGAGTGTTGTGTAATCTGATGATATGACGGTTTAGTGGGAGTTTGTAATTTTAGTTTTACTAAGGGTTCATACATTTATGAACATTCAGATATTAATTAATACTGCAGTACAAAGTCTAAAGTCTCAAGTAAAGTTTAAGGTATAAGGTTTAGTTTTTTCAGTGTGCTTACATTCTGAAACTTTGGTTGATCTCACTAAAGTGTAAGGAGGACCAGTTGGAAATAGACATGTTAAAGATCACACTGCATGAAATTTCCATGCTACACATCCACACTTGATCCATGTCATTTAGTTATATTAATGTATGTGACCAATGATGGGTTTAGTTGTCATTCGTGCAACGACTGCCCCTTTGATCCTATGCTTATATAATTAATGGACGGGATTGTTTAAGTCACTTTATGATAGCAAATTCTGCGCGCTCTTAAGTTTTTTGTATAATATACATTTATAAGGTGTATATATATGGTGTATAGTCCAAGTGGGAGATTGTAAGATCTATGTGGACTTTATACACTAATATATATAATTGTATGTTATAAGCTATCATAAAATACTAGCCCACATAAAGTGATCTAATTAAATCAACTAAAGTTTGGGCTGATTATAATAATTAAGTTATAAGGTGTGGCCCAGTATTGTGTAGAAACCTGGCGCCCAGGTTTCGTTACGTGATGGGTGGGCTGAAACCTTATTATATATTGGTTGTGGTCCCCGGATGAGCCGTCATGCCAAATCTTCGACTCCCCATTTGTCAGAAGTTCCCGTAAGGGCTTGACGGAATCATCTGGAAGACTAAACCGGATCGACGTTCTTGCCGCTACAGATTAAGGTACGCTTCCGCTTTCCTGTAGTTCTCAATAATTTGATGTGAAGGTCTCTACAATATTTGGATTATTCCAACATTTCTCTCAATTAGCTCACGCCTCGAAGACCTTGATTTTGGGAGTCACCAAAAATGTGAGTCCTTTGGAACCATAAAATTTGCGTTCCCGTGAGTTCAATTGGAGCACGTGGTTTTGAGACACTTGCGAAGAGTTATATACATATACATATGCACACACACATATATATATATATATATATATATATATATATATAGATATACTCGTCAGTTAAAAAATATTGTGTAATTTAACATTTTAATTTTAATTTAATTTGTAAAATTTAAAATTTAAATTAGACAATTATTCTAAAACGCATTAAACATATATTTATGTATATATGTACGAGTGAAGAGTATTTTCAGAGATTTTTATTGTATATCTTCGCTTTTATGGTTTCCATAACATTCAATTGAAATATGTACTCTTGTATGTGGTACTTTTGCGCCATTTCAGTACGTTGTTCAATACTTGTATTTCTTGTCTTTTCTCTTCATGAATTGTTCGAAATTATTAATAAGGGCTAGTTCCCTAGGATATAGTTATCTTTTTCCCTACCACACATTCAGTAACACAAATAAGTTGCAATGTGTCTTAATTCGCATGATTTAAATTTGTAATGACATTTTTGTCGGTATCTAGTTGAGGAATAATTTGAGGTTTGAACAATAATGCCACTGAATGTTTGAAGATCCATTGATGAAATCTTCATCTTGCCGGAGGATTGATGGTCCACGAGGAATTTTGAGTATGAAAAAGAAATATATATAATTGGGTATGTAAAGAAAAGAAATGTCTAAAATTGTTGTATTACCAAATACTAGAAAATAACGACGGTGTTATTCTCTCACCATGATGCTTTCTTGCAGCTAGTGGGACGTGACGTCACAAAGATAATTGTCCTCTAAACTATTAAATCTTTTGAAAATAAAAGGGTCCTCATAACTAAACAATATGACATTAACTTGGAGTAAAAACAATATGCGACTTAATACCAACAACTTTTGCATATCCATATAGTCCACCTAGCTATTTGAAGGGAACTTATTTAATTTTGCTTGAATAGAGATTAGTTTAATTGGTTGTTTTACGATTTTTTTATGGTTCTTGTGTTGAAGGTAGAAAAAGAAAATCCAGCTTTTCTCAACAAAAGTTTAATTTTTAAAAAAGTATCTTAATAGAATTAGCTATGAATTTTTTAAAAATCATAATTACATAATAACAATAAAACAAGAACATCCACGCAATAACTCAAGTATCACTTCCTAGCATGTGATTGAAAAAGTCCATATTTCGATTTCATCAAGAAATGGCCCTCTCTTTACTTCTTCCTATATTCCTTATCTTCACTCTCCTTCTTCTCTTAAAATGGCTGAATCCCGGCCGGAAAATCCTCCGGCCACCTTCACCACCAAAACTTCCCATAATTGGAAACCTTCATCAACTTGGTTTCCTCCCTCACCGATCCCTAAAAACATTATCTGAAAAGTATGGCCCAATTATGCTGCTCCACTTAGGCAGCAAACCAACACTCATTGTCTCGTCTCCTGATGTTGCTGAAATGGTCCTCAAAACCCATGATCAAAATTTTGCAACCAGGCCTAAATTAAGTCTCGTGGGACGGCTTGTCTATGATTTCAAGAGTGTGGCTTTCGCCCCTTATGGAGAATACTGGAGGACAGTGAGAAGAATATGTGTTCATCAACTTCTAAATCCGAACCGGGTTCAATCATTCAGAAGCGTGCGTGAAGAAGAAATCGCATTGATGTTGGAACGAATAACAGAATCTTGCCTTTCAAGCTCGCCAATAGATATTGGCAAAATATTTGCCAATTTCAACAACAATATAATTGTAGGGTAACCACGGGAAAGAGGTACGCATTCCAGAATAGTGCAATCAATTTTAAGAAAATGTTTGAGGAATACTTAAGAGTTATTGGGAGTTTTTAATGTTGGTGATTTCATCCCTTGGCTTGGTTGGATAAATCACATAACTGGTTGGAGGCAAAAGTGAATAGGGTCGCAAAAGAGTTGGATGCATATTTTGAAAGTTTTGTGGAAGAAGGAAAGAAGAGGCGGGCAAAGAAAATGAGATTAAGCAATGCAGAAAGTGAAGAAAACAAAAGGGAGCAGGATTTCTTAGATGTCTAGCTGGAAATTCAAGAGAAGAGTGAACTTCATCAAGATTCCGTTAAAGCTATTATTTTGGTAAGATTTTGATTTTGCATTTACTTAATTTCAATTTCGAGCAACTGGAAGAAGGAAATGGTCAGAAAGTTTTTATTAGAAAACTTGGTGTTTTTCGTCTAAATATTTTGGAAACGATGTTTTTTTTGTTTTTGTTTTGGCCAAACTATTAAGTTCTTTAACCAAACCATTTTTAAATTTTAATCACACCTACATTATTTGTACATGACTGACAAAATAATTTTGAGAATAAATATCCCTCATCAGTACTGTTCGGTTCAACAATCAAATAACCAAAAGTTGGACAGTATGACTAAGAATACATTTTCTTAAAAACCATAAGAAGAGAAAATTTAGTTTCAGTATAGTTTGAGAAGGATTTGTTGGTTACACTATATAAGAGCATCCACAGTGGTGTAAACATTGTGAGTATAATGTCATAAATTTCAAATATTATAATTTTTTTTCAATTTTTTACTACATTAATTGGTTTACAAAGTAAAAGTATATAATAAAATGAATGATTTTAGTATCATTTTAAATTTACATTAATTATATTTTAATCCCAAAAAGTGTAAACGTGTAAGAATTCTTATATTGTATAATATTATCACACTCAACACAATGAGAAATAGTACTACATCCGTCTCGAAAAAGTAATCCACATTGAGTTTTGAAATTTGTATTAGTTTTAGTAAAATTTGAAAACTCAATATCGACTATTTTTCTGAGATGGAGGGAGTATAATAAATTTGTTAGTTACTAATTGTTTACAACCATTTTGGGTTCTCTAATGAGGATTAACTATTTTACGATGAAGGGTAATGATTGATAGGGTAATGAGGTAATTGGCTTTATTATTTTGTCCCTCTTTTCCCATAAAAGTCACCCTGACCCCGCCCCCTTCTCTTAAAATGTACCTTAATCTGTTTTTGTGGTCCTATAATTTGGGAATGTTAGATGTCGACGTCCCTAATGTCCCTTATAAAATCAGAGTAGATTTGACAATCCGTTCGTTAACTGAAAACAGCATTCAACATTTCTTAGTTGCTTTAAAATTCATTTGTTAACGTGCACTAGGAAGGGGAAAAGAAATAAAATTGAAACATATTTACAGTTTCATAGTCACATTTGATAGTGGAAAGCGGGTGGGATGTTTTGGTTACAATGGTAAATTAAAATTTGTATTCGTTCCAATATGGATAAATAATTACGTTAAGGTAGCAACAAACTCTCTTCTTGTCCGTGACTCTAACTATTACTAATTAAAATATATCATTTTCATCTTTGATTAGTTTGAAGTTTCATTTGTTTCCGAATTCTTTTGTAGTGTCTAAGCCACAAGGAATACATATATTGCGTATACCTTTGCAAAAAGAATATACATATTTTCCAGCATATACGTCTATTTTTTGTCAATTCACAAAACCTTTATTTATGACATTGTTTTGTGAAAATTGATTCATTAAAGATTTTAATTAACAACAAATACAAGATATATTATTTGGTTCAATTAAGCAGGGTTTTTGTCAATTGTCTGTAAAATTTCTCAGTACAAATCACACAAACTCATTTTCTATTTTTTATTTTTTTCCCTTCTTTTTTTCTTTCAAGAAACCAGGGTGATACTTGGTGGAAATTCCCTCATATAATTGTTAATATGAAAATAACGTTTACATTGTGGCATTATACCCCTGACTGTTTTTTATAATATTTATTAGCTTCTTGTAGTTTATGTCCTGCGAGATATTAAAGCAATTGTTTGGTTCAATATTGGAAATTTAAATGTTTAAGCCTTTCGTTTCATACTTCAAGAAGGAGGGCATTCTGTGTTGGATAGCATATAATTAGTTCAACTATCCAAGTTGATTTTAACAATTTTGTTGGCCCAAAGTGATCATGCCGGTTATACTAGCTGGCCAGATCTTTTATTCAATTTTACAGCCCCCGTTCCTTTCATTATTTATAGAGTATAAGAGAAAGACTGGAAGTTGAATTATGCAAATTAAGTTCAATGTGCACAGATATTTAGAGTATTTATTACAATGAAAATCATAATAAATTGTATTTAAAAAAAACACACTTTCCTTCTGAAGGAATGAGTTAAACTTTAAAGATATTAAGTACTTTCTCCGGTCCTTATTATAAGACATTTTGATTTCTCCTAAATTTTATTTATCATGTGTTCACAATTGAAAATGAAAACTTGAAAATGCTTTATACTAATTGTGAGGATACAATAAATGTAAAAATACATTTTTAAGATTTTATTTTCAATCAAAATAATATAAAAAATAAAATTGACGACAAATCAAAATAATTTATAATAAGGAGGGGGAGTGCTTAACAAATGTCTAATCTTACAATTACGTTTGCAGGACATGTTTACTGGTGGAACTGATACTACAAGTACGCTACTGGAGTGGGTGATTTCTGAACTTGTGAAAAACCAAAACTGCATGACTAAGTTAAAAAATGAGGTTCGAAGTTTCGTGAACCGCATAGTGGATTACATAACAGAGGATTACGTAGATAAGTTCCCGTATCTAAAAGCAGTTATTAAAGAGACTTTGCGAATGCATCCTCCAGGTCCATTGTTAGCTCTTCATGAATCAATAAATGCCATCGAAATCATGGGATATGATATTCCTGCTGGCACTCAAGTTTTCATCAATGCTTATGCGATTGGAAGAGATAACATAGTGTGGGAAAATGCTGATGAGTTTCGTCCTGAAAGATTCTTGAACAACTCTATCGACGTTAAAGGACAACACTTTGAACTAATTCCATTTGGATCTGGAAGGAGAAGTTGTCCGGGTTATGGGTTCGCCATGATAACAACTGAAGTTGTCCTAGCAAATTTAATGCTTAAAATCGATTTCAAATAGGCTGGTGGAGGTCATCCAGAAGATCTAGACATGGGCGAAGTTGCAGGAATTGCAGCCAAAAGGAAAACACCTCTGATTCTTTTAGCAACCTTACATAAGTAAGGAGTTCCAAAAGGTTTGTTTGAATGATGCCGAACAACTTAACGAAAGCATATGTGCATGGCACCATAAGTTCTCACATGCATGCTTAACATTATATAAACTAGACTTCTTCTTCTTCTTCTTCTTCTTCTTCTTCTTCTTCTTCTTCTTCTTCTTCTTCTTCTTACTATTATTATTATTATTATTATTATTATTATTATTATTTTGTCAAAATGTTAATTGTGATCACAACAAATAGGTCTAACATATATTGCATAAGTATATACACACACACACATATATATGTATGTATATATATGGGAATGACTACAGTCAAGTCGACTGGATGGTTCAGTTATGCAATTTCAACCGTTAGATCGAAAGAAATCATTATGGCCTTAGGATTGAAGATACTGCAACTTAATATACAGTGAGTCTCATCACACCTTGTAATTTGGTTACAACCAAAATCACGTTTCTATCCTTTTTTTTCCCCTTTTTTTTTTACTTCTTTATGCTTAAAATATTCAATTCTATCTCAATGGAAATCTTCTGCACTTGTTTTCTGGGCTGCGAAACAGAATCCTCTGTACATCACACTCAATTCCATCTTTAACAATCTATAAAATCATTTGCCCAACAATGATGTTCTTAAACAATTTTTCCTTCCCACTTTTAATTTTCTTTCTATCAATCATAAGCTGTAATACAAACAAAATTGAGCTTTTTCACTTATTAATCTCTCCTTATAATTTGAAGGATTTTGATTTATGGTCCCTAAAACACCTTGATTGAAAAGCAATGGTAAACATGAAAGATGTACAATTATTCCTCCAAATTACAAATATGGAGAGTATATCCATATATCTCAAGCATCCAAAAATTTTACAATCTTAAAAAATTGTGCGAAAGTTTTTTGGGGTTACAGAACCCCTACCCTTATGAACAAAAAACTTTGGTGATTGGGGAAAAATTTCAACAAAGAACATTTGAAAAATAAAATAAAAGGCTATTCAAAAGTATTGATCCATATAAACAAAAACTTAACTAGATTTGTTATATGCGAGGTTGTAGCCATATGCGAACATAAAAGGAGAAGGAATATTGGCGGAAAGGTCCCAACGTTTGGCTCCTACTAGCGAATTCATCCCAATCTTTTCAAATTGATCAATTACATCCCAATATTTTAAAAATTGGGTGCAATAGTCCCATTACCGGCTTAACTATGCAATAATACCTGTGTTTGTTGGTTTTTTTCAGTTGCCTCATTTTTTTATTGCTAAAATTCATAGTGGGTCCACTGATTGGCATGGAGAAGCAAAGCACCCCAAAATTGGTGCCGAAAAAAAAAAGAGTACTCTAACTGTGCGGCCCATTCCAATGATCCTCACCTTGTTAATACTTTCTTTTAGTTTATAAAGGGGTTAATCCCCAATTAAATTTCATGCAAAACCCACTCATTTGACTAGAATAATTTTCAATTGAAAACTCCCCAATTTCAACGTTATTAATTACTCTCATTTTCTCACCCAAAAAAAAATAAAAAATAAAAATCAGATCAAGGTCACACCCAACTCCCTTATTAATTACTCTCATTTTCTCACCAAAAATAAAAAATAAAAAATAAAAATCAGCTCAAGGTCACACCCAACTCCCTCATTTCTCACGCATCAAACATAAACAGCACATTTATTTTCTTTCTCATCACCAAAACTCCTTCACTCAAATTATTACTAATCTACTGCCTCCCACCTTCAACCTCCAAAGCCTACAATAGGATGATATGCTACATCTACAACTCAATTAATTTTTGAATTGAGCTAACATTGGAGTTGATCTATTGGTTCCCTGTGCCAAAATATTTAATCATACGTACATTTCTATCCAAAAGTACATTCAAACTAGAAATCTAACATACAACTTGCTGAATTTCAGTTGTCATCCGCCTTTCTCTTCTAGCAATTTTCTAGTCCACTCTCAATTGCAGTTTCAGAAAGAGCAAAAGGGCAGTCAATACCTTGGAGTAACCACTCGGGATACTTCCCAGTCTTTGTAACATATTCCTCCACATTTTGCCTCAAAATGGTAGGCAAACCATTATAGTTAATTTCTTGATTTTACTGTGATTTTTCTTCACCATCGATACTTTCGTCGATTAATCGAAACGAAGACCGCGATTTCTTCTTTTCTGATCCTACCTTTTTGGCATTGGGAAGTGGTGCCTCAGGTTGAGACATGCTAGCCTAACATACGGACCATCAAAAAATGAATACAGACACAATTACAATGAAAACTCAATGGTAAAACAAAGACTTAAATAAACATTATTGAAACTACCTTTTTCCTTTTCTTTTTAGTTTTATCAGTCATTGTTTAATTGATCCACATTGGAATGACAAAAGACAAGATGACTAGTTAGATGATGACAAAATACAATGAAGCTACCTGATTTGGTTCATTTTCATCTTGTTGCTTTCTCTTCCTCTTTACCTGTGCCAACACGTGGGTTAACGTCACCAATTGGTAGTAAGAACTCAATAAGATAATTTATGCTTTCACAAGGTATAACAGTTATAAATACTTACATTATTGTTGGCTTTACTCCCCAGGTACTCACAAGTGACACTGACAGTGCTTTCGATATCTACTGCATACGACTCATCAACTCGTACCTGAGCTGTGAGCAATTCTCCATGCATTTGCTGTCCAGTTCCTGCTTTTGAATTGCCAGGTGCTTTCTGTGTTTAAAGTGCTTGGCGTTGTTGGAAATTTGATGTCACAAGTTTCCCTATTGTGCCATACACCATCACAGGATGCACATCTTTGGTGTTGACCCCTTCTTGACAATGTGTGCTTGATTTTATTTTTCTTGTCAATGATAACCTCTTGAACTAATTTGTATCAAGCCATCTTAGGTCTTCCAGGTCCCCTACAAACAGAGGGGGAAAAAGAGGAGGCTCATCCACCTTGGCCCATTGTTTTTCACCATTCATGGGTAAGATGGCTGGCTCAAAAACTTTCAAATATGTCTCTACAGAATAGCATTCATCCACGAAGTTCCTAGGATCTACGTGAATTGCCCATATTGCAGAAATTGCATGTGGACAAGGAATACCACTTAGTTGCCACTTCCTGCAACGACTCTCCTTTTTTCCAAAAAAAACACTAAATCGATCTCCTATTGAATCAGTCACTTGAATGGACACATTGTTACTTTTCTTGGCCTGGCATTCGGTAGCCATCTGGGTATAAATTCCCAGTCTTTTTTAAATTCTAGGGCATATTCCATTCTCGGTCCATTTCTCAGTTGCCCATTCCCTATTCTCCAACATCCTTAGGATCACGTAATCTTTAACACCTTCAAATATTCCAATTATTGGCTCACCCCTAGCATTTACAATTTTTGAGTTGAATGAATCACAGTGATTGTTCAATAGAATGTTGCACCTAGCATGACTGTTAAAGTATGCTCTAGACCACTGAGCAGGTGGCTTATCTTTGAACCATGCATATGCCTTGCTATTTAAGGTTTTTAGTTCATTCATCCTTTCTCTATATTGATTTTAAGTAGTTGCCTTTGCGGCATTCCATAATATCCTCCTTAGGTCATGTCCCTTGAATCCACCGTGCTGGAAGTTTGCATGCATATGTTTTTCACAAAATCGATGATCAGCTCTAGAGAAAACACTTTTAACTGCTTGGATTAGCCCCTTCGGCTTATCACTCTTACTTTTGATTTGTTAACTTTACCGGTACTTTCACTATTTGTTTTACCATTATCATCTCCCTCTAATACATCATCGCACATTGAATCATCTTCTTCCTCATCTACTTCTTCTTCATAATCTCCATCATCTATGTCCCAATCATATTCAGAATTGATTTCAGTCCATTCCTTGATGATTTTCTCGATTTCTTCACTTTCATCCTCTGCTTTATTCATACATTCATCCTTAACAGGGTTCTGATTTTCTCTCACCAAATAGTCATTACCTATCCTAAACATTTCTTCATCATTTTCATCCTAAACATACAGATTCATATACCCGTCCCCTTTCAAGGCATCAACACAAAGTACTTCCAATCTTACCTTGTCATCTATTTTCTCCAAACCAAGCTCTTCACTTAAACAATAAAAATAAATTTTTCCTTTGATCCCTATCCTCTGAACCATACCATATAAGTCCACAAGAGTTAGATACCCCAGATTCACATTATCAAAAATGCTGAAGTCCCCACCATTATAAGATGGGAATGGTTCGGATATTAACTGCCCACCATAGTCAAATTGGACGCTAGCTAACTTGTTTTTCTTATCTGTTAGGCAATTGAACATAAATGAGGAGACATACTTAATAGTTCGATAAACCTTTTACCTAAACTTAAATAAAATAAACACACATTCGATCAAAAAAATTAAAATGAGAAATCCAATACACATCAAGGAATAGTAAAAATTATTTTAAGAAATCCACAATGTCCACTTTAACCTGAAAAATATTAAAAGATGTAGTTAGATGGACAAATTTGGAATGACGAGAACACTTGCTCACATTCTGTGCTCTCATTCAGATCCCCAAAAAAATCTAATTTCTTGTTTTTTTTTAAAAAAAAGCACATTGTCACGCACATGCATAGATCTTTTTTTGAAGAATCTCTTTTCAATACATCCATATTTTTATGCAATCAAGGATCTAAAAACAGAAATGATCTCTTCAATTTTATCCATCAAATAAAGCAAGCAAAAAAATATCACGCTATTCTTTAAAGAAATGAGATTTCTATTTAGATGAACTCACTATACAAAGGATTGGGCTTATCGTGTTGCTCGATGGGCCTTAATTCCCACATCAAATCTGATTCGTTTAGTTTTTAGGCACCAAAATATGGTATTCTTGACCTCCCTTCTCCACTGGAGT